CTTTATGTGGCATCCAAGTTTCCAAACCATAGTTGTATTAACATGAACTCCAAGGAGTTTATTTTAAAACAGCATATTATCTACACAATTGCTTAGTAAAGTTTTCACTATTCAATGTACTTAAAAGTGAACATTTAAAAATGTCATGGGTGCCTTGAAAGGTAAAATATGATTATGAAAATAATTCCAGAATTATTTACCTTGCCTAAAACTTATTTCATTAATGATAATTTATTATTAAGACAGAATTTTGTCTTCAATATATGTAAACCATCTTGGTCTATTAAAATTGATGCTTTGGAATAATTCTTTGGAAGCCAAATTGAATAATCTGTCCTATGATCAAGCATTGCTTTTGCTATTGTTGAAGGCTGTTTAAAACATAGACAATTGTTATATGTGTGTTGCATAATTACTTTTCATAATTAATCTTTCCTTCCAAAATGGTGTAAATACTATGTTAGGCCAGTAATGCTGTATAAATAGTAAGGACATTTACTGGTAGAATTTGTTTGATTATAAATGTGGGCTATAAATCAAAAAATTAAATAAACAATCAAACAAATGACATAAATTATTCCTTAATATTTTGACAGACTGATAGAAAATACCATAGTGGCGTTATCAGTGAATTTCCAGCACAGATTGGTGTTTGGAAGTCTTATTACAATTCTTGTTTAACAGAACCACTATTCTTTCTTTTCTTGTAGGTGCAGGCATAAAAAAAAAATCACAAATAAGATGCTTGAGAAATCCCAAATTTGTGCTGGGAAACTGTGTAATTCTCATTGGGGTGAAATAAACTCAGATTAAATCATAACAAATCAGAGCTGGTCTTTGGATTCTGTAATTTCTACAGTAACAGTCACTATCCTGCTAAAAGAAAGTGGCTTGTGAGTTTCAGATCACCTGGTCTCTTGGTTCCTGCCAGCAACAGAAGGAAGCAAGGGTAGGGTTAGAGTTCATCCAGATTTAGTTGGTGTGCTATTTGGACCAGAATTTCTTAGCAATGGAATTTCACACCTTCATCACTACAAGATTGAATTACTGTAGGATGTGTTGGGCTGAGTTGGAAATGAGCTCAAAGCTGCAGATCGTGTAGAATGTGGCAGCCAGTTTAATGAGAGTATCTGACCAGGGTAGACTAATACTAATCCTTGAGACATTGCATTGTTATTACTGTGCCTCCAGGCCTCTGAAAAGTCTTGGCTATTGCCTTTAAAGCCCTGTGAAGCACAGTACTGAGAAATATCAGGCAGTATCTTGTCAAGAAAAAAATTATCCATCCAGTCCAGAGATCTAGATCTGTCATACACACCTTGCTTTGTGGAGTTCAAAGGGCACAGAACCACAAACAAATCTCCTTTGTCATGTCCTTCAGCAATCGGAATACTCTCAACCATAGATTCTGGCAGTCCAATCCTGTTTGTTTATAATAAGAAAGATAGAAACAATTTTGCTTGAACTTTCTTTCAGGCCTTAATAGTTCTTAGGAGCCTTGGGCATGTGTTCTTATTTTGGGAAGGGTGGATGGTAAAGACTGCCCATCTCCATCACAGAGTCCACAACCCATCTGGGCTGAAGTAGACCATATATATTGAAAGTAAATAAACAACAGTGAAGAAAACAGATTTATTCTCTTAGCCCTGAGGATGATTTGTGAATATTGCATATTTTTGTTATAACATTGTCAACCATGGATTTGAGTTCTTGCAAAACTTTTAAGTGAACTGGTATCCATCCAGTGATTAGTCCTTTGTGATTTGTCAGTAAAGACTCAAAGTCCATCTCTTGTAACCTCAAGTTGTCACAGTTCTCTCTCCTCTCTTCCTTAAAAAAATACCTGTCTTACATAATTCACTAACTTTACTTTTCTGGTTTTAGTTTTTGTTTCAAATTTTAGAAGTACAACTCCTTTTTGCTTCTAAAAAACTTTCTTGGCATAATAATAAATTTGTCAAAAGCAAAAGAATAATGTGCTAGCAGTAGATGTCACTGAAGTCAATAGTATTAAGCCCAGCATTGGGGATTTTCTTTCTGCTGTCCTGGTTCTACTATAGTTTTGCTGATAGTTAGCTATCAGAGAATGCACTGACTTCCAACTGAACACGTTCAGGCAAGGATACAGGAATTCACCCAACAGCAGATATAGTGATTTATTTGACTGTGCTTTGGGGGATTTTCCTCTATCTTATTTAAAAGTGACAACTGTTAAAAATGAATGAGTATGTCTTTCTTTCTCACCAAAATTTTTCCTTAACATTGAAGTGCAATAAACATGACTACAACTTGCAACCTAGCAATGGGTCATTTATTTTGTTTTTACTTCTATGACAGGCTACAATTTGAAGCTATTATTTTTAAAGATTATTTGCTTTCACAAAGAGATGGTAACTGTTTGGAAAACTGATAAAAAATTAGATTCTGACAGTTCTGCACAACAGGAAAGAAATTAGCAAGTTTTCTTGTATAATGAGTAGTAATTACTGCAATGACGTTTTCATATTGCATGAAATGCATTTATTTTTCTTGCTTTTTTGAGTACTATAAACTGATTTTGTTTACCTTTATGGATCTCATTATATTTTTCAGCTTTATATTATATTATTATATTATATTTATATTATGTTATTATATTCATAATATATTATAATATATTTTTCATCTTCCTTATATTAATCAAAGATTTTTGAATAGATAAAACCTTGTTCGCTTGTATGCTATTGCTTGTTTTCTATACAGCCAGCTGAAATAAAAGTTGAGAAAATGAAATATAAGTTGTAACACATTGTTGGTCATTCACATTTTCAATATTTAGAGACAAAACACTATCCTTATTTTACATGATAATATAATGAAGAGGATTGTGGATGCTGTGTTTATGTGGGGGTATGAGAGAGGTAGATGAGTAAAGTTTTTTTTGATAATGTTAGTGCTGGATTTCATTTAATCTTTTCCCTCATATCTCATTGTAGGAAAGAAGGCTATTCACCTTTCTTTCTTTCTTTCTTTCTTTCTTTCTTTCTTTCTTTCTTTCTTTCTTTCATTCGTTTGTTCATTCATTTGTTCGTTATAGGCTACAGTGATGGCTTTAGGTTTCATTCATGTCTTCTCCAGTTAAGTAGATCAGTTAAATGCAAGTTAATTCCACTTAAGTAACTCAGTTAGCAAGTTTGAAAAAGTGTATATTTCATATCTTGGAGAGCCAGTCTAGGTTTGTTTGAATACAATTACTGTATGTTCATTACAAAGTCATTGCAAACAATGTCAGTTTGTTGTGCTTATCCTGATCTGCATCCTTCTATGCAGATGAATGGATGAAGAATGCCCGAGTTTTGAATAACTGAAACATTCATCAATTCCACAGAGAGATTTTTCTTTTACTACTTCCTTCCTATCTGGTACTCATTTTTTCCTGCAATCTCCTCTCTTCCCTTTCCTTCCCTTCCCTTCCCTTTTTCCCAAGAACTACCTTGATCAAAAACTGGTCTGTTCCACATTCCAATCCATTTCCCACATGAATTTATCTGTTGTAGCTCAGTGTCATACTACTACATTATTCCTCTTTCTCTTAGTTTTACAGACACACAATCTACTATTTTCTTTTCTTGTATTCATTAATTCATACTTTTTGCCATTTATTCCTCTTCTTTTCCAAGTCATAATATTTCATACGCTATACTCTTCACCAAATAATGTCATGGGTAATGACTTCTGCTGATCATTCCTTTGGATTACCAAAGCTTTTATGTCTTGCTGTATATTAAGAATGAGAAAGACTAGATTAATTTATCACTCTAGTTATAGATGTGCAGTTGTGTACTAATTAGTTTGATACTTTGGGGGCAATAAGCCAAAGTGCTCAGTTTTACATCAAGCATGCTCATACTATTTTTTTTTAATCTCTAGAGACTTTTAAGTCTAAATATACATCACACCAGTTCATATGTATATGTAGTACACTGACTCTTGTGATGTTTAAAATATTAATACTAAAGCTCAGTTTATCTTGGTAGAGAATATTGCAAGGCATTGAACTTAATTATTGGGACACCTTGTAAACTGTATATAACATAATATCCTGGTAAATGATTTATTTGGCAAGTTTTTCAAGGAAAATAGGCAACACAGAGCTAAACAGATTAGTTGCCCAACTTGTAAATTTCCTCATATGCTTAAATGTAATGAGAATGATTAGGAAATCCTATAATAATAATTATCTAATTATCTACTGCAAATTGTCTCCTGCTGTAATATGCTTCACTTGTGGTAGACTATCTAATTTCTTTGCTTTATGTATTTAACCATATCATTTTCCAGTTTTAAGACTGATGATAGTAATCAAAAGGGAAACTATATTGCAGAGAATCAAATTGTAAACCCCAGTCTCTACCCTTAAAATCTTGTTGCATATATGATAATACATAAGATACTTTATGTAGTCATAATTTAAGTACAAATGAATTGGTTTCTACAAATGAATACAGATCAAAATTCTTTTTTCAGATACTAGTAATATTATTCATTCATTTGATTTGATTTGATTTGATTTATATAGCTCCCATCTCATATAGATAAACTTGGATAGCTTACAATAAAATAAATGAAAACAAATTAGAATAGAATAGAATAGAATAGAATAGAATAGAATAGAATGGAATGGAATGGAATGGAATGGAATGGAATAGAATTCTTTATTGGCTAAGTGTGATTGGACACACAAGGAATTTTTCTTGGTGCAAATGGTCTCAGTGAACATTAAAGAAAGATATATTCATCAACAGCCAAGAATCATGGTACAACACTTAATAAGAGACATGGGATATAATCAACAATCAAATCATACTAGGAAACAGTCAATATAAATCGTAAGGATACAAGCGACAAAGTTACAGTCCTACAATCACAAGTGGGAGGGGATGGGTGATAAGGAGTGATGAGAAGATTAACAGTAATAGTAGTGCACACTTTGTAAATAGTTGAACAGTGTTGAGGGAATTATTTGTTTAGCAGACTGATGGCTTTCGGGGGGAAAACTGTTATTGTGTGTAGTTGTTCTGGTGTGCAGTGCTCTACAGCATCGTTTTGAGGGAAGGAGTTGAAACAGTTTATATCCAGGATGTGAGGGGTCTGTAACTATTTTCACAGCCCTCTTTTTGACTTTGCAGTATACAGTATACTCTTTTTGCAGTATACAGGTCCTCGAGGTTGGTAGTAATTGTTTTTTCTGCAGTCCTAATTAAATAAAATAGATAATATAAAATAAAATACATAGCAATCAAGAACCATAAAATAACTATCACCAAAAACAAGATGAGCTGTCTCACACTTTTGTGGCACTAAGCTTAGTAACAAAACAAGTTTTAGTGCTTTACAAAAGGCCAGGAGGGTCAGAACTAATCTAATCTCAGGGACTTAAGTTTGAGAGGGTGTGTGCCGTGGCTATAAAGGCCCACCTCTTGAGTCTCGCTAGCTGACACACGTTGGCAACAGTGCTTAGAGCATATTAGTAAATATTGCAATTATCATGCTTGCACTGTATTAGGGTTTAATTTATGAATGATTGTGCTACTAGATAGAAATTAATGTGTCAAGAAATGAACAGCCTTGAAGATTTATCATGTTCCATCAGGATGAGCTACTTCATAAAGCAAACTAAGTTGATCGCAGTAGCTGATAAAATATTTTTGGGTGTTGTTCTTTTCTGTTTGAAAGAAAATGTAAGTTTGTTTTGGATGAACAACAATGAAGTATTACTGTGTAACACAGAAAAGCATTTTTAAAAATATGAACAATTAGTCTTAGTAAAACAATTATTATGCTAAAGTGTTAAGTTTGGGAAATAATGGAGACCAGACATCTGACCAGTGACTTCAACTCTTTAATAACAGTAATAGTATGGAACACAGCAATGCTATGGGCAGCAGTAACCCTTTTATAGGGTTGGCTGCTACCCTATTAACCAATAAGAAGTGTCCTAAAAGTGGCCAATCCTTGTTCGTTGTTTAAGGACCAATCAAGTGTGCAGGCTTTCAAAACCTGCTTTGCATTTGGGCTTAGTTACTTTTATTGATTCACAACACCCCTCCCCCTTGGGTTCCGTTTGAGGGGAGCTGTAACAAAATCGTCAAGATAGACAGGCCGTTTGGTCTGTCTGGATGATTTCCGTGGCTTCACCGGGGTTGTCCTAAAGTCCGGTTCCGGTGGAGCGCGTGGATGATCTTTATTAAGTTCCGTTTCGCTGCACGGTGATTCCGTGCTGCTTTCGTTGTGGTTGTTTCCATCAATCAGTGTTTCCTCGGGGTTTCGCTGTTCGGTTTCCCCCGTGTTCAAGTCCCATGGAAAAGTCAACTCCCTCCCCGCTTCAATTCCCGGTACTTCGCTGGGCCGTAGGGTTTCCGTTGATCTGCTATCTGTCATATCGAAGTCAATTTCCTCGATATTTCCTCCCCCCTCAGTTGGTGAACCCGGGGAGCCATGGGCGCTGGGTGGTAATCTCGAACGGAGTTGGTCTATGTGGCGTTTCCACACCCTCCCATCATCTGTTAGCAGGCGGTAAGATCTAGGCCCTGTGAGGTGGGTAACGGTTGCGGGTATCCATAAAGGGTCGCCGGAGAAGTTTTTGGCAAAGATTAAATCGCCTACCTTAAATTCCCGGCATTTGCTGCTGGAGCCGAAAGGCTTTTCGGGTGCGTAAGCGGGGTGGAGCCGGTCGAGGTGCGATCGCAGTTTCCGCCCCATAAGAAGTTCAGCGGGCGTTTTGTTGGTAATGCTGTGGGGCGTGATGTGCTGTAACAATAAAATTCGATTGATTTTCTCATCGATGTTTCCGAATTCCATTTTGTGGAGGGTCTTTTTTACAAACTGTACCATACGCTCTGCACGTCCATTCGCCGCAGGGTGCGCGGGCGAGGTTAGCGCATGGCGGATGCCCCGGTCAGCAAGATATTGTTCAAATGGTAATGCTGTGAACTGTGGGCCGTTATCCGAGACGAGAACGTCCGGAAAACCATGTGTGGCAAATAACCTGTTTAATTTGTTGATAACTGAGTCCGTTGTAGTTGTGTTCATTCAATGGATCTCGAGCCAATTTGAATAGGCGTCGACTGTAATAAGGAAAGTATGCCCTTTTGTCGGCCCCGCAAAGTCAATATGAATACGGGACCATGGTCCCCTCAGAGTTTCCCATTCGGTTGGGCTTGCTTTAGGTGGGGCGTTGCTGACGTCTTGGCAATGTTGACAAGTAGCAACCCAGGCCTCGATTCTTTTGTCGATTCCCGGCCACCAGGCGTAGCTCCGTGCGAGTGCTTTCATCCGCACGATGCCCGGATGTCCGTCGTGCAATACCGCTAAAACAGTTCGTTGCAGTTTGCCCAGGATTACGACTCTATCGCCCCACAAGATGCAGCCCTTTTGAGAAAACAGTTCGGTTTGGCGGGCTTTAAAAGGCGCCCATTCAGGTGATAGTTGTTCTGTTGGCCAACCACGCTCAACCCAGCGTAGGATGTGTTGCAGGACCGGATCTCGTTTTGTCTCGAGGGCAATGTCTCTCGCCGTCAATGGCGGCGCGTGTAGAGTCTCAATTTGCAACGTTGTGATGGTTGGGGCTGGATCTTCAACCGATTCTGGAAGCGGTGTTCTGCTCAATGCATCAGCGTGGAGAATTGATTTCCCCGGGCGGTGTTGCAAGGTGTAGTTGTACGCCGCCAAGAATTCAGACCAGCGGGTCATTCTGGGGGACAATATATACGGGGTTGGTTTATTAACCGCAATAATCCCCAGTAGTGGTTTATGATCAGTAATTATTGTAAACGCACACCCATACACATATTCATGAAATCTTTTAACTGCAGCCACAATAGCTAAAGCTTCTTTATCCAGCTGACTATAATTCCTTTCAGCTTTCTCTAAAGTCGTGAAAAAAACGCGATGGGAGCTTCTGCTCCGTTCGGTAATACGTGGGCCAGGATTGCTCCAACCCCAAAAGGTGAGGCGTCACAAGTAATAGTTAACGGCAGAGTCTCGTTGTACTGCATAAGTACCGAATCAGAAGTTAGCAATTTCTTTACTTGTTGGAAAGCGTATTGTTCACGTTGTCCCCAAACCCACGTTGCTTTTTTGTCTAAGAGTCTATGTAATGGTTCAGCTACCGTTGCTTTATTGGGTAAAAAGACGTTATAAAAATTGATAAGTCCAAGGAACGCCTGTAGATCTGCCTTGTTCCTTGGAGTGGGGGCCTTCTTAATTGCCTTTAATTTGTCCTCAGTGGGATGGATTCCTTGCCTGTCCAGGAGGTATCCCAAAAACTCCACCCTTTCGGTACATAACTGGCATTTATTTTTTTTAACTTTGAGGCCTGCGTTTTGGAACCTTTGTAAAACTACTCGGAGTCGTTTTTCTAGAATGTCTCTGTTAGGGGCGGCGATGAGTACATCGTCGAAATACGGTACGATTATTCCTTGTAACAGCCTTTCCATTAAGCTCTGAAAAATTCCTGGAGCGACGCTCACACCGAACTGGAGCCGGTTGCATTTAAATGCGCCCCTATGCGTGACGATAGTTTGCGCCTCCGCAGTGGCCGGATCTACAGGCAATTGTTGATACGCCTGCGCTAGGTCTAATTTAGCAAAAACTTTCCCACCGCCCAGGGAATGGAGCAGGTGTTGCACTACCGGCACTGGATATGCACTTTGCTGGAGTGCGTGGTTTAGGGTGGCCCGGTAGTCTCCGCAAATTCTCAGTGACTCATCAGGCTTGATAGGCGTCACTATTGGGGTTTCCCACCGGGCGTGGTCGGTGGGTTCCAGCACGCCCTGTTCTATTAGCTTATCAAGTTGTTCATCGATTTTAGGTTTCAGGGCGAACGGCACCCGACGCGGCTTAAGGCGGATGGGTGCTACCTCAGGGTTCAAGTTAAATGAGATCGGGGTCCCCTTGTACTTGCCTAGTCCGTTCGCGAAAATGTCTTGGAATTCTTGCACGAGGGCTTCCTCCCAATCGTTGCTCTCGGCACGGTGGACTCCGGCTACAGTGATTCCAAGCGGTCTGAACCATTGAAGGCCTAAAAGACTAGGCCGGTCACGGTCCACGACAGTCAGTGGCAGTGCGACGGTGCGGTCCTTGAAAGAGACCTGGAATCGGCGGGACCCGACAACGGGAATTCGGTTACCCTGGTAATCTTTGAGTATAACCCTTTGAGGGTTGAGGTCTTGGCGGCGGATCGTCGGAATGAGCTGTTGGAGCGTCTTCCAGGACACCATCGAGAGGGATGATCCTGAGTCCACCTCCATTACACAAGGTTTGTTTTCGATAGCGACCTTCACTCGGATTTTCCCGGCATCAAGGGATGTAGCGTGGCCTATGGTAATTGTCTGGTGGGTCTCTTCCCGCCTGGTTTCTTCCCGCCTGGTGGAAGTGGTGGACGGTTTGTTTCTGTAGGAGTGGCTTCCCCATTGGTGATTCAGTTTGTTTCGGGGTGTGCCGAAGAATTCTGAAGACTGGCATTCGGCCTGTCGGGGTTTGGAGTTGGAGTTTTGTTTGCTTCGGCAAACCTTTGCAATGTGACCTCTTTTCCCGCAAACACGGCAGAGTGCGTCGAGGAATTTGCAGTTGGATCGTGGGTGATTCGCCCCACATCCTGCACAAGGTCGAGATGAGGGTTGTGTGAACTGGTCTCGTTCCGTTTGGAGTCGGTTGACCTCTTCCTCATCGCTTTCTGATGGAGATTCTAGGTCTTCGTGGTGAGTCGATACCAGGTGTCTCTCTGAGCGAGGCGAGGTATCTTTGGCGAGTTGACGTAGCGGTGCATTGGTGCGGCGCATTCGGGCTGCCGACTTTTTGGTCGCCTCCGCTGCTGTGGCTTCTTTAAGGGCATCGGTGAGGCTGATGTCCCCCTTAGCCATGATTTTGCTCTGGATCGTGCCGTCTTCTAGGCCCAGAACCAGGCGGTCTCGGAGGGCTTCTTCTAAATCAGAGAATCCGCAGAGGCCTCCAAGGTTGCGGAGGTCTGCGATGTAGTTGGCAAGGCTTTCGCCTTTCCGCTGGTCCCTCTGGTAATATTCGTGTCTTCTGACTAAAGTTGGCACGGTGGGCGCGTAGTGGGCCCGTAGCAAAGGCTTGAGGACGTCCCAGTCCATCGCTTTTACTTCGGCTGGCTTGGCAAGTGATTTTGCCATTTTAAACACGGTAGGCCCGCAGTGGGTTAGAAATATAGCTCTTTTTTTGCTGGTTGTTGC